GAAGATGAAAAAAGCTCAAGAAGGACCAGCAGCCAAGACCAACAATGTACAAAAACAAGAAGAAGAAGATGAAGAGAATGGGAAGAAGAAAGGCAAGCAACCAAGCAAGAAGAGAGCAAGAACATAGCAGAAGAAGAATAAGAATAGGAATACGGGGGGGAGTTTTATTTTCCCCCTTTTGGTACAGCTGGTGGCTTCCCTCCAATTTTGGTTCCCACCAAAATTGGTTAAATTAGGTTTTAGTCATTTACCATTTTACCCCTCATTTAATTCAATGGACCAAACTGCCAACTTATAAACTTGAGGGAAACTCCACAATCCTTAATCATTAATCACATAATTGTCACCTACACTAAATAATAAGACTTATGTCACCGACCCTTTATTTTGACACCTTAATGTCACCTTTAATTCAAAGCCCCAAGAAAGTAGACAGAAGAGAGAAGAGTTATTATTTTTCTTGAGGGGTGATTTTACCATGAAAAGGACCTCTATTTATAGGGGGAAATTGACTTGGTCCCAAAATTAGGGTTCCAAAATATTCTCTAAAAGATAGACATTCACTATATTTTTAACACTTCCCTTTGAATGTCTAATTCGTTGATAATGTGCCTCATTAAAAATCTTACTAAAAAAAACTTTAAAAAAAGAAAAACTCTAGTGAAGAAAAAGAGTACACATATCTAATAATACGCATCTAGGCTAAAACTCTAGTGAAGAAAAATAGTACACATATCTAATAATACGCATCTAGGCTGTCTATGCCTCCTTGTACTTCCACAGAAAAAGCTTCTACACGTGCACCAATTTTGTAACTTCTATTCACACATTTCTTCTGGTTTTAATTTATTTATCTTATTTTTCTTTTTCGTATGTTATGTACTTAAAAATTACGAAAAAATATTATTATAAATTAAAATAATTAAAAATATACATATTATTTTTTAGTTCAGGTCAACTCAAAATCTCCTCATCTTAACAACATATAAAAAAAAATTATATATTACATTTTTTTATAATTGCAATAATTAACAATTTAAATATCTAAACTCTTCAAATTTTGTCCATATCACAAAACTTGAAAAAAAAATAACAAATGTTGGGCCCGTGCTAGCACGAGCTCTTTTAGCTAGTATAGGTATAATAATATTATACATAGCTCTTTATAAATTAATACATTACAAGTACTCATTTTGTCTCTTTTCACTTGTTCAATTTAGAGTTTTTATTTGTCCCATTTTACTTGTTAATTTTGACAAATCAAGAAAATAAAATATTTTTTTACCTATTATACCCTCAATTTATTTAGAAAACTAATATTTTTGTTTAAGGTAGAACATCTTTAAAGAGTAAATTGATTTTGAAATTTTATCATTTAATAGGGGTAAAATGTTAATCCACTGTCAATTGTTATTTTTTTCTTAATATGTGTGTGAAGTCAAAAATAAACAAGTAAATAAGAATAAATGAGTATATTATAACTAAAAATATCATAGATATTAAGATATTTAAAAAGGAAAAAATATATTATATTAAATTCTAATTTAATTGAATTCCCCATCATTATTTTTTTCAGGAAAACATTTTATTGCATTACTTTAAAATGTGTTTCAGATGTCCATAAGACACCATTGCATCAATTACAACACAACTTGGGAAGGCAGAATCCCAAGAAATCTTATTTATACATGAAATAGAAATTTTAGCTAGATTATGAGCTAATACATTCCATGTTCAAGGAATATATATAATCTCGATTTCTTCAAAAGACTTCATCAATCGCCAGACATCCTCGCAAACGGTCTCTATTTCCCAAGATGTTATCAAATTCTTTTGTAACATTTGTATGACATTCTTTGCATCTGACAGTATGTGAACCTTTGACCAACCCTTTTGTAGTGCTCTTTCCACAACTTCTCGAATTGCTAGTGCTTCAACAATTATGGCCTTCCCTACATATTGAATAGGGGTACCAAAGGCATGAAGCAAATTACCACAGCTATCTATAGCCGCCATTCCAATGCTTGCTTTTTCCTTCTCCCTTTGTAGACCTGCATCTGTGAAAACAACAATCCCATTTCGGACCAAAGTAACTGTTGCAACATAAATCTTGTTAGGTATAGGATTCACAACTGCCGAATTTCGCACAACATCGTCATATTCATGTAAATCAAATAAAGCCTTATGAACTATGTCATTAATTAGGTTCATATGTACCATCATTAAAACATAATGAATTTCTCGCTTTCCACATTTGCAATAAAAGAGAAATACTCAATCTTAGTAGCTCAATGGATTATGGATATTGACATGTATTACAAAATAAGTCATTCCACCATATTGTAAAATTCATATCATTTTCTACATTAGGCCAGTTAATGGGAGTCAGCTTCCATACTAATTGTGCTTTTGGGCAACTGAAAAATATATGATCAACTGTTTCAGTTTCTAAGCCACAGACCCTACACACATCACAATTTTGATGCAATCTCTTAGAAATATCCGCACTAACAGGAAGGTCATTAAGAATGCATTTTCTAAGGAAATGTTTGTATTTGTTTTTTATTTTGAGTGCCCATAAGAAAGTCCAAAAAGATTTTGGGAAAGATTGATCATTGACTTGAGGTATTTCAGTTCTATGATCAGTACTATTAGCTAGGCTTTTCGCTAAATGATAACTAGATCTTTTCCTAAATTTTTATGATGTCGAATAACTTTATTAGAATTTATGAGCAATCTTAGCATGACTTCTAGGTGCAATTATTTTTAAGCACACTTTCTTAGAAAAAAGAATATAAAAGGGAAACATTTAGTGTACTCAAAATAAAAAAAATTCATCACTAATTCATAATCTGCATACATTATTAACTTAATAAAATATCTAAAGAAATAGTCAAAGCAGATAAAATCATATTATACCCAAAATTAAAAACTAAAATTCACCCTAAAATCAGCAACAAAATTGTATTCTAAAAAAAACAATATAAAAAGACATGCAAACCTATCACAAAAGGTTGTAAAAGTATCAAAACTAAGATGCAAATACAATATAAAATCAAAAATAAAAAACACAAAATAAAATTTATGATAAATGTACTTGGAAGAAGAAGAAAAAACATTCACATAGAATAAAATTCTAATATCCGAAGAAAGTAAAACTTTATGACGGAAAAAGCATGTATCATGTGAGAAAAAGAAAAATCAAAAACAAAATGAAATAACGTAAAAATATTCTGTGCGCTAACTAATGAAAACAAAATAATCTTATTTACATAGAAATTGAATTAAATTAGGTAAGAAAATAAAACATGGACCCAATTTGGTAGCATTATTTCTTCGTATAATATATTTCCTCCGTCCATTTTTAATTGTCGTGATTTTTATTTTTAGAGTCAAACTATAAGAACTTTGATTAACATTTTACGATGTAATTTTCATCATATTGATATGCAAAAAAAATTGCAATTTATAGTATTTTTCGTATAGTTTTTGAATATTTAATTTTTTTATTTAAAATATTGAATTAATGTAATCTAAATTAATTTGAAAATTAGTCAAATTAACTTTCAAAAAGCACAATATGACAATTAAAAGAGAACGGAGATAGTATAATTTTCTCTATTTTTATTGTTTGATGCGTCATACACGTGACACACACTAAAACTAGCACTCTCTCCGTTTCAATTCTAGGCATATACCAATTAACTTGATTTCAACACATATTTATGTCTTCTAATTTTGGGTGTAAATAAATAAACATTTAAATTTGTATAAATTGAACAACTAGACACACACGTCTTAGATTATGTCACGTAAGACTCATGTTTCTACGTGTTCAATTTTATATAAGTTTAAGTCTCTATTTATGCAGACCCAAATTTGAAAGGCATAAATGTGAAATGAGACAAAATTAAAAGACACATTTATGTATTGTGCCTCGATTCTATTTTGATTTAGCATAGAGTTTAAGAAAGTAAAAAGATTTTTATTGTGGTTTTAAATTAAAAGTATAACAAAATATTCTTTAATTTATAATATTAGAGCATGTCATGTAAAAAATTAAAATAAAAAGTAACAAAGAAAAGGAGACAATTTTATTATACGAACTAATAAAAGGTATAATCAAATTGAAATAGAAATAGAAATAGAAATATATATATTATTATTATTATTATTATTATTTTTCCTATCTGATGTTCAATACCAATATTAAAGCCTGATATTCTGAATTTACGCCACGTAAAACCTTATTCATAAGGAAAACGCTATTTATAAAATAAAAAATGCATACCCAAGCTCGAATCCGAAAGTGGATTAAGACAGGAGCAGAATTATTAATTTATTGATAAGATGAGAAAGGTATGAATATATATATGCCTAATGCGTTTAATTAGAAAGAAAATAAAAGCAGGTTGGTGGATCACGCACTTGACTTTCTTTCCTTTTTTCAATTTAATTAAAGTAAGTAATTAATTTAATCTTTTCTTGTAGATTCACACTTTTGGCAACACTGAAAAAATAAAATAATTATCAACATAAAACATTGAACAACCCGCAATTTTCCACTATATTTTTCATTCCCAGACGAACAATTATTTTTTTTAATTTTTATTTTACCTGTATCGATCTTGAGAGCTTGATGATTTCCAGGACAAAAATAGTTAGATTTCTCCAGAAAATATACAAATTATAAAAATTGAACAGAAAAAAAAAAACCTAATTTTGATGTTTTGATGAAGATGATGGAGAAATGGTACAATTTGATCATGATGTGAAATGGATCTGAAACCCTAATAAATCATCAGTTTTGGAACAAGGTAACAAATTTTCAAAGCTATTTCAATTGCCATGGATTTTAGAGACTTGTCAGTTTAGGGTTTATGAAGGAAACTGTAACACGGAAAAGAAAATTAATAATAAAAATTAGTGTTTGGTGTTTACTTTGAAATTTTTGTGTGAATAATTTGGATTGTTATCATTCAGGCAAAGTGCGGTTGGATTGATCATTAGATACTATTTAGCTATTGAAACATGCATGCCAGATATCGTGGTCCGGTAAATGGGAATAGGTCTAGTTCGATGGGTGTTGGGGGTGTGGGAGCTTCACCTGAACGATTTGTGAGAGGTCGTGGTGAGTATAGAAACTATAGTCGGGTTGATTTTGGGCGTGGTCAGTCAAAGCAGTTTGGATTGCCTCAAGGAAATGAAATTTTCATGGAAGCTGGACGGCTAGCGGCTGAGTACCTTGTTTCCAAGGGAGTGTTGCATCCAAGTGCTCTTTCAGGGAAATATCAAAATGGTAGCTTAAGGAATCCAGTTGAAGAATTTCAGGGGTTTAGGTCACAGGAGGCTGATTTTATGGGGGTCCCTGTGGAAGGTCGAATATCAGCTCTTCCTCATTTGGGGAGTGCTGCAGGTGATGTAGGTCATGGTAGGAAAAGGTTTCCGGAGGAATATAACTCAATGGGTTCAAGAAGCTTTGTGAGAGAAAGTAGAAGAAATGAAACTGTTAAAAATTATGGCTCTGAGTTCAATCGAGAATTAGGAAGAGTTGGGTCGTGGAATAGAGTCAGAAACTCTCCTGATGTGGATGCTCAAGATAATGCTTTTTCAGGGAATAGAGATGAACAGAGAGTAGCTAAGAATAGTGATGTGGTGTTGCAAAATTCCCCTCCCAGGAAAATAGATCCTGAGATTGAGAGTTCAGTGGACTCGCTGATTGATTCAGAGCCTGCAGGCCAAAACAAGACAGGGGATGATGCAGGTAAAAAGGCATGTCCTATTAGCACTGAAACTAATCTTCCATCAGAGGATGAACTACAACATACTGAAAAGTGTATTGAAATGGAAGCCTCAAAAATAGAAGTTGATCAGGTTGATGTTTCCAACGATAATGGTGATTTGGAGACAAAAGCTGCCAAGGAGAACATAGAAGTTAAACCTTGTACTGAAGAACATACGCATACAATCAAGAGTAGTAATAATTTACTTAGTGTCTGGAGGTTTGAGCATGTTCCCAAGAAAACTCGCTCTTCATTGGCAAATAGAGTTCTGAAGGTTTTTGATAATGCAGTCATCAAAGATGAGAACACCCGTGAGATGGAGCTTCCTAAGGATACCCAAATGCATTCAGAACTGAACCATGTGGATGTTTCTGCTGGTGTAATTTCATCTCCTCATAGTCATGATGCAAGAAACCTTGATTCTGGCAAGTCGGAACCTCTTGATTTGGAGGAAGAATCACGTTGTTCTCAAGTCATTAAGCAAGTAAATGAGACGGATTCCTCATCTCTTGGAGACAGCATGGTAATAAAGGAGGACGAAACAATTGTCGAGTTACCTGGATTTGAAAGTTGCAGTTCTATTAACTTGGAAAGAGGAGAGAAACGAGCATTAGAGCATGATGATGATTGTACAGGGAGAGCTAAGAAACCTAGAGAATTGGTTTCATCTACATGTTCTCTCTCAGATGGTATTCTGTACCATTCTAATTCCATGGAAGACTGGCCGAATTCACAGGAACCAGGGACTTCGCACGGCGAGGGAGTGATGTTGTCATTAGATGAAAAGAAGTTGGTTGACATTCCTCTGATTACCAAGAGTGATGTGGAGCCAGACACTGACTTTACAGGAAAACAACTTTTTCCAGGCTCCTTGAAAACTTGTGACCTCAATCTTTTGGAAGCTTCTGTTGTGAATGAGACTCAAAATGCTGATCCTGTTGATATATTCCCAGGGATAACTGGAAGTGTAAAAGAAGAAGCACCAGTTGATATTGATCTGACCATGAGTAGTAACTGCAATACAGCTCGTCAATATGCTAAATCTGCCTTTGATAATATTGACATTGAGGTGATTGATTTGGATAATGATTCTGAACAAGAAGACAAGACTTTGAATAATCTAGAGACAAGGTAAGACTATAACATTAATATATTTGTCCTTTAATATGGCTTTGCATTTTCCGTTGTTTCAGTCTAAGTTGGTAGAACATTGGTCCATGAGTTGATATGACTGCTTTCTTTAGTTTTCCATAAACATGTTCTTGGTGAATCATATTGCTTGCCTAGATTCTCCTCTAATTTTGGGAAGTCATACACAGGTCTGAAGTTGTATTTACTGGATCAGATGGTTTTTCAAATAACCCCCATGGTACCGACAATACTCCCGATGTTCAGGATGGTTATGGACTGATGATATCAGAATTGCTTGGGAATGATATACCAAGCTGTTCTTCTGTACCAGAAAATATGAATTCTTTTCACAATGATATGGGCCTGCATAATGGAGAGGTACTAGTGCCATGATTTTCATAATTTGTCTTCTGGCTGTTATTTATTGAATTGGTTCAATATGTTACTTTTACTATTGTTGTTTCTGCTTTCACTTGCAGCTGAGAACGACATAACTCTTGATGAATGCTTTTCACCAACCTCTTGTTGAATACTATTATTTTTTCTTCAGGGAGTGCTTGGAGATGATGATTCAATATATATGTCTTTGGGAGAAATACCGATAAGTATGCTAAAGATCTTTTCTCATGCACTTGAATTCAATATTACTAATTGAGGTGTCTTTTGGAGGAAAATCCTGTGCATGTACGGAAACATGATTGCTCCATGATCCATCCTATATTATGCATTCACTAATGGTTTCACCGATTGCTTGTTCTGATTACTGTGCACATTAATGTTATGCTATTCATTTGATCTCTAATTATTCTACACATATTATAAATCCTTTTGCTTTGGTGTGATGGTCCATAAGATGTGTCCCATTGCTAATTAAATGTCTTACTGTCAAAAGCTCTACATTCTCTGAACAGTATCATGAATTTTGTAGAAAAAAATAGTCCAAAAAAAGAGGAGGGAATTGATTGATGATTATAGGACAGGTAAGCGATAAGGAAATCCATGATGAGAGTGACCTTAGGCTTTTGAAATGAGGATGTGTTTTGCTGAATGACCTGTAGTTTGGCTTGGTCAGTTCATTGATGTTCTGCTCCACAGACATAGGCATGTGCAATAATATGTTTGACATGCATGTATATTTGTGTACATGTATGTATGTGTGCTTCTCTGTTTTGTAGATGAAATCTCAGATGCTATAGGTGTCTTTGTTCTCTCTAAGCATATGCTTAATATATTTGCGTAGGCTTTCTGACGGCCTGGGAGCAGCAGACACAAGAATTCGGGAAGCCATTTTAAGCTACAACCTTTCCAGGTTTTCATGAGATATATTATACAATAATCATTTGTATGGCTCAATTTAGTTGTCAAAGATTAGTTCTATGCTACAGCAACTTCATGTATATTTCATGACTTGTGTAAGATCCTCACTTCCAGCTGATGTAAGTACTGTCCCCTCACCCCCTTCCTCGTCTCTTGAAGGGAGGTAGTCAAATGTATTTTCTTTACTCCTTTTCTGTTACACTCTTTTTTTTTGTCATCGCAATTTGTCCTCTCTTGTTTAAAGTTTAGCAGTTCCCTGATTCTCTGTTGTCTGTATAATTGCTTGTAAGTAATATGTGACATCAGAGAGTGCCTAGGAAAAGAAATTACTTAAAGGCAACGTTGGTCACAAAGATGGACAGGCTTGGCAGGAAAACGATTCATCGTTATTTCTATTTCAGGATTACTAAAAGAATAAAGAATATATTGCTTGCTCAAATAATTACACTATGTTTTTTTTCCCTGATATCCCGGAACAAATTAAAGAATAGAAAAGAAAACCAAGATAATATTACAGACAACATTCGTAGATTTGATCCTTTAGAACCTTGAACGTTTGCATTCAGGAGAAAGGCCTTGAGAGAACCTTTTAGCATCTGCACAGTAATTGTAGATCATGTATTTCTGCTGAACCCATCGAAGCCTATTTCTGTCATTACCGTTCAGTTCTTGAGTTTGCCATGCCTGATCATTGTTTACTGAGTCAGTCTTAGAGCCTTCACAGGACAAAGTAGACAATGCAGCTGACCAAACACAAGCATTTGTATTGAAATTCCTGTAAGAAGCTGTAAATGGAGCCATGGACCAATCCGTCTTCACCCGCCCTCCTTGTGTTGCCCATTCATCAGCATTCCATAAACTGGCGTAAACTCTCATTGCTTGATTCTTTGGGAATGCAACACCAATCGCTTCGTGGTTGTTGAATACTCTTATTGGGATATTATCCACCAAAAATCTGGCCAATTAGAAAAAAAATCCCCAAAATGTCAGACATAAACACTAAGTAAGTTGTTTAGACTTGGATTAAAGTTCAATTAGTAACATACATGATGCGTTGAGAGTTCCAAACAATAGAGTAGGTGTGGAACGACGAGGTGGGATCAAACCATAGGCGAAACTGTTGTTCTTTGTTGCCTTTTCCTTGAGAGTAGACATTAGTGTGAACCGTGTACGGTTGGCCTGATGAATTTCCCAGAAACTCAAAATCAATTTCATCATGCCCTGCTCCTTGAGAAGACAACTGCATATTGTACAAAAAAAAACACTTCAGTGAACATGTGTTTTTTTTGTTAATGAGTTATAGTAAGAAGAAATAAGCTGTGTTACTTACGTAGAAGGTAGTGACAGTGCCAGCAGAATTTCCAGGTACTAGTTTGAGCTGCATATCGAACCTTCCGAATAAATATGCATTCTTGGACTGAAATCCTGAACCTGAAATTTTGTCAAGGGACAAGGCGAGAAGGCGCCCACCATCTTGTATCTGAGTGCGATGGTCACCAAACGTGACCGTCGCATCTTGGTAGAAATTATCAGCCCAAACAGGACATAGCAAGAGAAGTGCAAGAACAGATAGCTGCTGCAACAACATTATAGAAAATCTTAAGGAATGTGTGTTTGAGATTGGGACACAAATGAGAATATATGTAGTAGATTTTGATAGAGGGAAGAGGAAGGATCGAAGAAGGGGAATTATTAAATTAAATGAAGCAAATAGCTGTGAATTGAAAGGATTGAAATGTAACGTGTTTGTTTGGAGATTTGGAGGGGCTGTTGTTTCGGAAGTATGGGGAGTGGGGACACACATTTAGATCCGTAGGGGTGGGGTGACACCAATTACCCAAAGAGAAATGATTGACATTATTCTACCTAACACGCTTTGGTAGAGTGTATAAAAAAAAATAATGAACGCATTAATTTTGTGTATTAGTAATACTTTGTTTGATGTATTGTTTTAATCTATGTACACTCTATTAATACATGAAAATTCATGATGTTAGTAATGCAAGGAGTTTTAATACATGCATTATCATGGTTAAAGACTTACTGCCCCTCAAAATCTTGTTTACATCTTTTCCACCATAATTATGGAGGGTATCTTTGTAAATAAATATTTTTATGCAAGCATGCTATTTTTAGTACACCAAATCGAAACAATACATAAGAAATATTTTATGTATACTTAATGCAACATAACTAATACACTTTATTTAGCATTATTTTTATACAACCAAACAAGTGTTAAGGGCTGTTTGCAGAATGTATTTGAAAAAATAATACATACATTAGCTTTGTGTATACATTTTTTAGGCTATGCATAACTAATGTTTGTATTAGTTATACACTTTATTGTGCATTGAGGTGTGTATTATTAAACAATGAAATTTCATGTATATGTAATACAAATAATTTCAACACATGCATTAGATTGATTAATGACACTACTACTCCTCAAATCTCTCTCAATACATTTCCAATTTCCTGAAGTAAAGGGTATGGATGGTATTTTAGTAAACATAACATTTTTTGTAGAAGTTAATGGAATTTTTATTTTAAATACATCAACTAATACACCTTATTCAACATTGTTTCTGCCTTTTTGTTCTTTGTTTGATCGTGTTGTTCGAAGGGCCAGATTCACAGTTTCAATACTGGGTTCATAACGTGATACTTTTAAAGTGGAGCATAAATTTCTAGTCTAAAATTTTAATAATAAAAAAGACTTAAATTTTATGGTTTTAAATAAAACATATGTTGGATGTACTAAGTTTCTCTTTAATAATTGTTTGGTCAATTGATCTCCCGGGTATTCGCTTAACTTTTTGTGTTCTTTTCTTAATTATAAATTTCATAATCTTATTGAAATACTTATTGTGCTCAAAAGTTAAATAAGTATATTATTTAATAATAAGGCTTAATGATATAGCTTGCCAATTAGGAGAGAAGGAGGTTTCTGAGGTGTTTAGTATTGTATTTTTTTTAAGAAAATAGTGATAGTTGAGTGGTATTTTTATTTTAAATGAAATAAAAATATTTTTTAAAACTTGAATGGCCATTTAAAAAATTAACTCGTGTAGAAAGCTTAGCTCGCCAACTTCTCCATTCTTTACTTAAAGCTGAAAATCCAACTTTACAATATGTGAGTGAGGTTCAATGTTGGAGTTGAACTTTGATTGTTCTTTTTTAAAGTATGGACAACTAGCTCTTGTGAACATTTGAAGAATGAAATTATGCATATTGTGTCTATTTTATATGGCAGAGTCAAAATTTTCATTAAAAGGATATAAAAAATAAAATAAAAAGTAAATATAAGAAGAAGTCGAGGGGATTTAACATGTACTATTTATACCTTAAAAAGTAATTTTAATTATGCATAAATAGTATAATTTATCGCTAAAGGGGATTCAGATGAACCCCTAAACCCTTACTAGCTTCTCCCTTAATTACATATTCTTTGGAGGCAAAAATAGGTTCAAAAAATTGAGAAGATCAAGTAGACCATAAAGATCAGTGTCACTTGATGACTATTTGGCATGCCTAATTAAAGGTGGTGAAAATTTTATAATTGACATATATAAGATTAATAATTACAAGTTATAACATTATTATTTATCTTTCAAGTTATAACAATAATAAATTGCAAGTTTTAACATTTCAGTAAAATAAAAAATGATTTAAATTAGCAGTAAAAATCAGTTAGTGTGAAAATTAAATAAGGTAAAAACGGATATAGTAGTAGTAAATAATTTGAAAAAATAAATGATAATTAAGATGAGGCATAAAAATAGGAGATTCATAAAAAAAAAAAAGATTTATTTTCCTTGTTTAGTTCTGAACAGTTAAAATTTTCTTAAACAGATTTTTTTTCTTTTTTTGTTCAAACGTTTCTCTCTCTTCTCAAAATTTTCTCTTGTTAGTCGTCAGTCTCATCTATTTTATTTTCGTTTTTATTCAATAATCTTCACTTTCTTGTAATGGACGGTTTGTAATCAGTACTAATAAAGCATGGTGGTGGATGAGATCCTTCAGGTTAGTGTTCTTTGCGAGTTTTTATTTGTATTATTATACAAACCAAACGTAAAAAATGAACAGTGATACTTAATATTTATTTTAAATTACTTAATATTTATTTGAAATTGGTGTATTGGTTATATCATATTGGTACGATTTTGGCATTATATTAGAATGAATTTCATATTCTAATTAACTAATAAATGAAAATTAATATTTAGCAGTGGTATTATTTTGGTATTATATTGGAATGATTCTGCTGTGAAAAAAGTGAAGACTTATAGCATGAAATAGGTATAATTTTGGCATGAATTATGTATGAAAATTGTGCATAACAATTGTATTAAATTTGTATATTGATTTCAGATTTTTTTGTGTGTATAAAAATTTTAATTATGACGTTTTTTTAAATGTATAATGTTATATTTTAGTATGAACATAAATTTGTTCATTATTTGTCTAAGGCATTTTTCAGATTTTGGCAATTGATAATATTTTTTTGGTATGATTTCGGGTTTGAATTGGTTTTTTTGGCATTATATTAGAATGTATTTTGTGAATAATAATGTAATGAATTTGGTATATTGTTTGTTTAAGAAATGACAAGTAAAATGTATAAGTTGGAATTATTTTGGTATTCTAGTGGCATGATCCTGGTATGAATAATTTATGACTTTTGGCATGAAATAGGTATGAAATGTGTGAATAAGAGTTGTATGAAATTTGTATACTGGTACAACATATGTATTTTTACTTTGTATCCTATAATACTGACTCAGTGAATTTTTTATGGAACAGGCAAATATGTACAAAATGATGAGATATCTTGCGGACATGCAATGCTAGTTCTTAGGTACTGAAGACTGCATGAAACAGATTATTGCTCTCCCTTTTATACCTTGAAGAATTTTGAAGATGTATATGTGATCCCTATTGAACCTCTAACATGTGAGAGTACGTGGGATATACCAAGTTATGTGTCTGAGCCTAAATTATTATCGCCTTGTTAAAAAAGAACTGTAGGAAGACTACAACTTGAACGTTGGAAGGGATTTATTTTGTGTTTTAAACTTATGTTTGCTTTAATTGTGACAATGTACTCATTATTTTTCAAATATATAGTGAGTAGTTTATTAAGTATTGTTGGTATGCAATTGGTGTCCATTTGGTATGCAACTGAA